TAGGGGGTTAAGGGGGGGGCATGAGGGTGTTAGGGGGCGGTATGGGGGGGCGGTATGGGGGTGTTGGGGGGGTGTATGGGGTGCTGGGGGGGGGCTATGGGGGTGTGGATGGGGTTATTTGGGGTTCTGGACCCATTTTTTTTTAATTTTTTTTTTTTGCGGGTTGCCTACCGGTCGCCGACCGGTCGGCGCCAACGACACCTACCGTCGGCTGGTCGGCAGCCGACGGGTCCAGGGCCACCGACCGTCGACGTGACTACACTGCATATATACACATATTTAGTTAATCCATAAAAGGGTGGAGGGCAAGGAGCAACTTACCTAAGACAGAGGACTCCTCCACCAAGAAAGCACCGAACCCATCCTCCATAGGTCCGAAAAAACTTGGAGAGCCGTCCACGTCAGCCCACAAAACCATAAAACACCATAACACAAAAGGCTCCGCTAACAAAAAAGCACCGACCACACATGCCAATGGTCTAACTTTTTTTTAGAGCCCTCTGTGACGGCCTACAACGCCACCACAAATAAAAAATACACCACAGGACCTGTACGCAACACCAAGAGTGTCATGAACCTCCCCCAGCCGTGCAACCTGCAGAAGCGGACGATGCCTAGCGCTACAGTGAGGCCAGTGTGAGTGCTATGCCAAATTCCACAAGATTTCCGCGCGACACCAGGAGCGCTACTGCTTAAAACTCCCACACAGAAGCTACCCCGTTCTTCCATGTGCTCTGAAAGAGCAGCCCGCAGGAATTACACCCACAGCAAACACTCTCCAAGCCTCCTCGTATAGAGATATTATGTCCAAAACCCCAAACTCCCACCCCAGAAAGAAACTCGTGGCCACCCACAGACATTACTTCATCAACAATACAGCCCATGCTGCAAAGCAGGACAAAGAATTAGGCCATGTATAAAACACCAAGCCAACATTTTTTTTTTTTTTTTTTTTTTTTTTTTTTTGTGTGTGTGTGTGTGTGTGTGTGTGTGTGTGTGTGTGTGTGTGTGTGTGTGTGTGTGACTTCCATTGAGAGCACACGGTCATTCTCATTATGAAAAGTTACTTTTTTCAAGTTTTTTGGCAATTTTTTACAGTCTCTGGATTTCTCTGTGTGACAGGGCATCCAATCATCGGATGGAAAATTTGATTGCAGCCGTGTACTGTTCTGCTATAATTGGAGATCTGGTGAATTTTGGGAAAAGGCGAAAAACAGAGGTGAAGGGAGAGGGGTACGGAAGGGGAGAAGAAAGGAACAAAGAAAAAGAAAAAGAAAGGCACAACGGTAGTACATGGAGTGCAATTTGGAATGTTTCGACATATGTTTCTCTGACCTACCCGGGGGGTCTAGGGCCTTTAGGGTTTAGGGTTTAGGCTTTAGGGTTTTTCTTTCAGGACCCCCCACCCCCCCTAATAACACCAACCCTGAGTCGAGTTGCAGTGCTGTCTTGAGTAACGAAGAATGGGCTTTCTTTTTTTTTTTTCTTTTGGCTCTTTTCTTTATTTTCACTGGTATTTTGCTAGTGTCCTTGTGTTACAAGAAGCCTTTTTTTTAATCTTTGATGGTTTTCTTGTCTAGGCGATAGGTGTGTGAGCGACTGTGGCGAAGCATAAGACAACCACAATACTGCTCTCTTCACTTGCTTCTCCATTACTCAGCAGCTAGAGAAGGGCAACTCTGCCACTCTGTAAATTTGCTTCCACTTGAAATTCCATCCATTCAACATCACTATCTCCTCACAATTCCCCTCCCCTCCCTGCCTCCCTCCCTCCATCCATCCCTGCATCTGTGATGCCACTTGCAGCGGTACGAGGTAGTGTGGTACTACCGTCTTCACCCAAATAGAACACCTGGTCGTTATAACCGTATTTGGTGCACATTTCAGTCTAGATACAGCGGCATAGTACCGCACCAAACCCACAATAGTATCACGCCCTTGTCTATTGTCTCGATATTTGCCTGGACCCATAGATAAGGTCACTCCAGATAATACGACCCCCCAGCCCGCATTGTACCCCTCCCAGCCCACCTACCATCTTCACTCGAATTGAACGCCTGGTCAAACGTTCAATTCGGGTGAAGACGGTAGGTGGGCTGGGAGGGGTACAATGCGGGCTGGGGGGTCGTATTATCTGGAGTGACCTTATCGATGGGTCTCGGCAAATATCTAGACAATAGAACGCTTCGGTTGAAGACGGTAGGTGGGCTGGGAGAGGGGTACAATGCCGGCAGGGGGTTGTATTATCTGGAGTGACTTTATCTATGGGTCCAGGCTAATATCGATACAATAAACATGATGGGCGTGATACTATGCGGGCTGGGTGTGGCACTATGCACAGTGAGATTATCTAGGTTCCCACAGCAAATATGGAGAGGACAGACAAGGGCAGGCAGGTGCCGAAGTTGGAAAATGAACGAAGAGACCTTTGTCCCCCTTTAATGGACATGGGTCCAAGCACGTCAGGCTCATGTCGGAACAGTTACTACTTATTTTCCTCTCGAAGCTTAGAAAAAAAGGTTGAAGTTGATCGCAGAAGTGACCTTATCTACGGCGGTGAGACATGGTCTGACATGCACAATCTGGGAGTATTGACGAAACTCGTACCAGACAATACATTGAATACAGTAATTTTCAAGACTGACAAATGTGTATTTGATGGTCAGACTCTGTTTTGGTGAGTGCCGCGGGGCCTGAGGGGCCCAGCTTGTTGATTACTGCTTTTCTCTGTGTGTAACTTGCATACCGAAATGGATGGGTTAGATCAACCTAGATGTATCATAAAGATGCCATTTTATTCCTCATTTGAGTGTTGTTTTCATTGCGTGTTTGCTGCAATTTAATGCGTGCTTGACCGTACGGTATGCCGAATGAATGGCCCACTGATCATCTCATTACCCCATGCCATAATATGATATAGGAGGGAGCAGCATAGCAACTGGGATGCTACTATGGTGATCGGTGACCTCACTAATTAGTTATGGTGGTCAGGAACCGCGGTCTTCTGTTTGGTACCTGGACTAGTGGCTTGCACGGACAAGCCGGGAAGACTGTGCATCGGCAGCATTCTATGGAAACACCCACCCTCCTCCTTTTACCGTTTCATTCCCTCGCCTTGCCCCCTGTGCTAACACAACCTGCATCATTCTCACCCTCTCCCCTCTCTC